ATTTTATAGATAAATTATAAAACTTTTAATGATAAAAGTTTAGTTTAATTATAAATTTATTTTTCTATTTAATTATTAAAAATTCATTTAAAAAAAATATATAAAATTATTAAAATTAAAAAAAAAATAGTTTTTAAATCATGAAATAAATGTGATTACAAATTTTGTTTCTGTCAAACTTTCATTTTTCAACTTGAATCAATCAACTTTTGAATGATTTTTCTTACTTAAAAACATAATATTTTTCATTTAATAGTTTTAGAAAATGTTGGAAAATTGGCTAAAAGCCTGGAAACATTCATTCACTTAGAAGAGAATGATTCTTCTGATAAAGAACAAAACGATTCTCTCTCTCCCTCTAAAGATCATCAATTCAGTTTTACTGTACGAATTCATCTTTAATTAATTTTTAATATTTTATAATAAGTTAAAAAAATTATTTATAAATAAGCTAGAAAATTTAATTTATAGGCTAGCATAAAAAGTAAGAATCTTTCATCTGAAAAAGATAACCAAGAATCTCTATTCTCTAATGAGTTCAACGTGAGAATAGAAGATATTTCTTCAAAAGTTATTCATGATCTTAAAGAAATTCTAAATAAATACAAAAATAAAATCATTTTAGGAGACTGCGAATGTAAGAAAATTTTACATTTATAATTCTATTTCTTTATTATATAAGTAGTAGATTTATATTTATATATTAAGTATATATTATTTTCAATACAGTCGACCCCCCACTATAACACTGTTGATAACTCCGTTTTATATGAATTCCATGTTGTACGAGTCACTTAGATTTTACAAATACGTGTGCCGGGCTGTAAACGGCTCACCTATTCGTAAAATTTAAGTGACTCGTATAACATGGAATTCATATAAAACGGAGTTATCAACAGTGTTATGGGGGGTTCGACTGTATTTTTATTGTTTATTTTAACAGTATTTTGATATAATATATGATGTTTTTATAGCTGGTTTAGGAGGAAAATTATACGGAGATTGCTTGAAAGAATATTCAGATGAGTGTAAGAGATGCTTACAAGAAGCTATTCAAATCATAGAAGAAGAAGTTGAAAAACAAAAGAAAAAAGCCGTAGAGGAATCATTAAAAGCAATGAATGCAGAAAATGAACAATATATAAAAGAAATGCAAATGAAGTTTCAGAAGCAGCTTCAAGTGCGTTGATTTTATATATCATTTATATAATTTTTTTATAATTAATTATTTATAGAATGGCACAAAAGATATCTGTAAAGTTTATGGTTATATTACACCTAAATGTCAAGGTATATAAATCTTAATCAAATGCAAACATCTGCAATTTTGAAGCCATTTTATAATACACGTTCATGTATTTGCCCACAATCCACAACATGGAAAACATTCAGGTAAAGAACTGGTTAAATTGGATTGAGGGAAGCTTCAGATTAAATATGAGAGCAAAAGTTTAATATATTTTAATATAAATGAGCTTCAAATGCTAATTTAAATAATATTCGAATAAGATTACCTTGTATTTTAGTTGTAATAATTAGTGAATACAACAAGTGAATTTAACGGTGTTTATAATCAATATTTCAGGATGAAATAGCTAAAGTTAAAGCTCGAGTACAACAAGAAATTGAAAATGAAGTGGAAGAGGAAAAAAGAATAAGTGAAGAGAAAATAAAAGAGAGCGTGAAAGATGTAACTGAACAATTTAAAAATCAATTAAAAGAAGCGGTGAGTGAAGCTCAAGAGCATGAAATGAAAATGGGTCAGAATAAATGTAAACAAATGAGAAGGTAAATTAATGAATCTAATAAATTATATATTTATTCTATTAAATAATAATTATTACAGAAAAGAAAAGAAACATTTTAGAATACAATACGCGTGTTATTTTCTATTATTTTTTTCAATTAATAATCAATTATGTATTGATCTTATATAGCAAGTATGGCTAACAAGTCGATCTCAACAGTATGACCTGTTAAAACGTGAAAGACATTTGTAATTTCCATGGAAATGATATATAAATCTCTTAATTATCACTATGGGTTTTTAGAACTGCGTTGTATATAAGATAACACGTAATTGTCTTTGTTTCTGATTGGAAAACAATGAAAAGAAAGTAGTAGATACTGAATGAGAAACAAGAAACTGGAACGTGCTCTTTAAGTCCGTGATCGTATCTACATTATGTATTTATTTTATAAATTGTTTTGTTGTGCTTAAAACAATTTTAATTATGTGCCAATGAGGAACAAGATTTGCGCGATAAATGGGAATTTTTACCAAGATGAGCGATATATGCGGCTGCTTAATTTATAAAATCTTAGTGTTTTTATCAAAAGAAATAACATGAAATACCGTCAATTATTAATAAATATTGATTGTTTTATAAGAGTAGGTTAATTAATAAATTTTTATAAAAGAATAAAAATGCAACGGTACATCATTGGTACTTGTAAGTTGGTCAGGCTTTTTCTACAAAGTATCACAGAAAGGCTGTACCAGGCTTACATTTTCAGTCTTTAGTATGATATAAAAAATTAAAATTGTCGGAATATTAAGTTAAAAGATCTATAAACCGCCCTTTGATCGTTAAACTTTAAAATCAAAGGTCAAAATATAAGTATTGGCACGACCTTTCTGATACGTTGTATATAAGTTATACAAAGAAAAGATTTTCTTTACGACATTGTAACTTAATTATATTTTATAAATATGCCATTAATTTAATAAAAATAAATTTTCATTATACTGTTCGTTTAAGAGAAATAAATTACAAATTTTTTAATTTAAATAATAATGAGTAATAGAAATAAAATAGTTTGGTAAAGTGAACGAGGCCTCTTATAACGCGAGACCCTAATCTATAATTAATTATATTTAAATCTGGTTGTGTTTTTAAAAGTATATTTTAATATGTAAATTTATTTTAAAGTGGATTTGATGAAAAACTGCGAGAAATAAAACGAATAGCAGAAGAAGAAAAAGATAAATGCTTGGGAGTATTGAAAGAAAATTTAATACAAGAAAAAGAAGAAGCTGTTCAAAATTTAAAAAATGAAGAAGAACAACGAGCAAATGTGCAAATGAAAAGGCAACAAGAATATTTCGAAAATATAATCGAAAATTTGCAAAATAAATTAAAAGAATTAGAAAGAGAAGTGAGACAATTAAATGAGCAATTGAAAGAAGCGAATGTTCAGAAATCTGATGCTAATATGCAATTATCCAATTTAAAATTACAATTACAACAATTTATTGTATTGGCCAACAAGACAGAAATGGAAAATCCAAGGAATAAATTACTTTACAGAAATAAATTTAATTAGTTATATAAGAAAAACTAAATTTAATTGTAAATTTTAAGGAAAATAAAACGACATTTTAAATTTATAACATAAGTTAATTCTTAAATTTATTAAAAAAAAAAACAACATAATATTATAATTATATTTTTAAAAAAATCTAGCAACGAGTTGCTTAGGTTTTCCGGCAACATGTGTGACGCCATCTGTTATGATATTTTATTATTTAAAAAGTTTTTATATTTTTAATTTAATTTTCAGGGTAGGAATGGGTTTTATAAAAAAATTATAAATGCTAATAACCGGTAAAATCGTTATTAAGTCCGACCCTACTCGAGATATGACACGCGACCGCTTTTATCTTTCACCCCTTTGACCTTTAAGAACTCCCGAAGTCAATCAACATTGCACGAACTGTTGGACAAAATATTATGTTAATGTTTGCCATGAATGTTACAGGACAGATGAAAAGAGGAAATAAAACCTCTTCTTTTCATCTTTCCACGGAAAAAAATGAACAGTCGTGATCGTTTAATGATTGGAACTGTACCGGAGAGTATCGCAATTTCACAGGAGAGTGGTTGGATGAAGGATGACATATTTTTGCAATGGTTGGACCATTTCAAATAACTATGCATCTTAAAAACGAAAATCCTGTTCTCTTAATCTTAGATGGACATGCTAGTCACAAAGAGTTGTCAATAATATGAGTATACTCTTAAGAATCACATTTGTTTGCCGTGTATGTATGTCTCCACACACTATTCACAAGCTGCAACCTCTCAATAAGACATTTTTCAAGCTTTTTACAATATCTACGTTTGCTTCATTAAGTGCAATATGGATGAAACAAAATCCTGTAGCTAGGATTACTGATTACGGCATTGCTGATTGCTGCACTTGTAGATTTCTGTTTTGTTAAAGCAGTTAGGCACACGAAGACGGATTTAAGGGCACAGAACAGGATTTGACACTACATATAAAAATGAGGATGAACTCTATTAAAGCATTGTTTAAATTTTTTGATGCCTTGTTAAAGGGGTTTAGATCTTATTGAAAAATTAAGAAGATTTTCAATTAAGATATTTCAAAAGATTATTTAAGCTCGAACGTTCAGTGCCTGGTTTTTCTGTTGTAAGATTAGAATTAGGGAGACCTCCGCTTGAAATTAATACTTTAAAAGTTTGTTAATAAAACTATTTCTTAATAAATACCGGATTATGTTGAGTGATCAGTATATAGATATTTCTACGGGGTATTCTTGCCTATATTGTATTACCGATTACGATTGTGTATTAACGCATATTTATACGTCCTGTCCAGTTTTAAAATGTTGTTTAAGAGAGAAATTCTTAGTGAAGATTTTTTAAAGAATTATTTGTATGATAAAAATATGTCGAAGATAATATTGAATAAATTGCATACTTTTTTTTTTGTTAAATCTTTGTACCATTTTTATTAACTGTATTGTAATTAATAGACCATTATGTGGCTGCTTATTTATTAATTTTGTTTTATTTTTCTCTCTTGTATGGAAGTACTATTATTAATAACAAATAAATAATATTTTGTAATACATTTGTTTTGAATACTGATCACATAACACGATAACTAACTTATTGAGTCTAGTAAGGAGAAACAGTTGACAAATCGTCACCTTGGAACTTTCAGTCACAATAAAACTAAGTAGAAATTAAGTAAACAAGATCCTTCAATGCTATCCGAACGAATTCGTTAAAAGAAACATCTTTTATTGCATTATTTAATGTATAATATCAATCCGGAAATTTCGGAATTTGCATTTGCCTAATTTCGGAATTTCTGTATTGATATCTTAGGCGATCCGGAATTTCAGTTCCTAACCATAACTCCATCAAGTATACATAGAATACTTTAGGACAGTAAGTAGCAATTCGTCAATTCCTTCCAAGAATAACTTGTTGTACTCAAAATGTAATTCGCAGAGGATAACTATAATAAATATATATATATCAAATAATATAATTATCACATAAGCCCTTATGTATCTGCTGATTTCAAATCTTCAGAAGTTTTCATAAGTATTTGATCTGAAAATGGTGAATTCATTCTTCATCATTTGACTGTCTTATTGCGTGTCTGAATGAACACGTAATAAATATGAAATCGTTTATTACGGGGTTATTATGGGCTCTTACCGAGTTAGAGATTTATATACCTTATATGTGTAAAGATAATGAAGAGATAATAATTTTGTCATCTTTATCGTTTTGAAGATAATTTTATTATTCTATTAAATTTGAACTATATTTAATATTTGTTTTTATTTATTTATTTATTTAAGTGAAAGTAATATTTGAAAGGTTTCTCATAAACTCACTTCATATCTTTAATGGCTTCACACTGTCTCATGTTTTAATAACAATTTATATATATACGTGTTTAGAAGATTTTGTCTTCCTACACTCCCTTTTGTAATGTTTTAATCTTTGCTTCAATAATTTAATGACATTTTTATAATTATTTTGTATTATGTTATATTACGTGTTTTACGCGATGGTATTAAAAAATATATGAAAAATTTTTTTAACTTCAAACCGTTCTTCAAAAATTCAATTTCATATTCGATTATAATTAAAAGAAATAATCTAAATGATATTCACATCTTTCATATTTTATTTCAAATTGGGTTTAGGTTTATTTGGTTACGGCAACGCTGCAAATGGACAATCTTCCGAGGGCAAATGTATACCGGGAGGTTTTTTAAGGGAAACTGCTTCTTATTCTAGATAACATGAAACCCCTGAAAACTCCACGTGGCCAGTCCGTTGGCGAGGCGCAAACCTATGACCAACTACCAGTGTTTACGGGGTTTTATCCCCTCGGCCACTGGTGGGCACTATTTCAAATTAACTACATAGCATTTGTGACAAAAATGATTTCATACAAAAGTATAAATTTCAAAATTGTATTGAGATTTAGATCCCGAAAAAATGGGACTACCGGGTTGTAAGGGATGGGGCCCGACATATCAAAACGGACCACCGTCGGAAAATTCCTGGATATTTTTCAACCTGCCAGGATTGGATTCCGTGTTCCCAGAGCGGTAGGATGCCACCTTGACCGCTAGACCATCCGACCCTCGGAGAAAGTGTGGTATGATGTATAAATTTGTATTATCGCATTAATGTAAACATAAATGTAAATAAGATCCATATTGTAGGATTTTAAGAGACTGTTAAAACCTTATATTTATGCTTCGATATCATTTTTTTCACAGAAATTACGTAGTTAATTCGGAATGAAATGTTAAAGGTGTCAATGTAGATGACCACATGGATGAGAGGGCAAACGGTCAGTGTTTTCTTGAAGGTTCAAGTCCGAATCGGGAATCCCAGAAATTTTTCGGGGTTGGTCCATTTTGGATATATCAGGCTCCGTCGCATTGCGGGTCTAGCCAAATCTTCGATGTCTTGATTAAAAAAACACTCTTAGCGCCTACAGGTCAGAAAGAAAACCTGTGATGATGTATCCTATGATTAAAAACATCCTTTGGGGCATCAGGATGGAAAGAATAAAATATATCATACATTCTATTTTATAGTAAATTTTTATTTGGGGCTGCGAAAACGTTTTATTTGTCAATATATTTTTTCGAATCTATTTCTATAAAGTGAAGAACAAAACTAGATCGATTTTTTATTATTATTTTATTTGTTTCAAACTAAATTATAAATATAATTTTGTACAAAATTAATTATTATATTAAATATATATATTTATAATATAATCACAATAAATATGAATACAAGCTATTTAAAATATACTTTTAAAATATTAATCGAGTCTATAAAATTACAGTAACTCTATAATTGCTTCAGATAAATTTTGAGTATAACTACGGTATATGAGAAAATATATTAAATTCAAGCTAAATATAGATTTTTCAATTGCTATTAGCTGTGTTACGCATCTCGATCCCATCCGAAACCTGAACTGCAGATCCATTATTACTGGTAGGTCTACTATGTGAAGACAAAACTATCCCCACAACCTCGCCCATCTTTAACAATTCTCTTCGGATATTAGTATTTAGCCAACCATACAAAATTGGATTAGTTGTAGCAGAAGTCATAGCTATGATGTGACACAAAGCAAAAATTAAATAAAGAGTTTCGGGTGAAAAAATCTTGGGATGGAAATCTGCTATCAAATTAACTATATTCCAAGGTAGCCAACTAATTGTAAATACAATAGATAAGTTAAGTAGTATCATTGTAGCTCTTTCGTTTCTTTTCAGTTCTTTCCGTAATCTTTCTTTATATCCTGGAGCTATTTCTTGATGAGGATGAGCTATTTTTATATTTAAATATGTTCTTACTCTACAATGAGTTGCAATTAAAATCATAGTAGGTATGACAAATTGCATTAAAAGGACGACAACAGTGTAGATAGATTTAATGTGTCCAGAAGGCCAATGTTCCATACATTTTTCTGATAGAATAAACCCACTCATTCTAATAGGAACAACTTTTTGAAAGAGGCAAACCGGTATTGATAGAATTAAAGATATCACCCAAATTGATATTGTACAGATACAAAATTTTTTACAAATAATAGTTCTGTGAATGTGGCTCCGTACGATAGCGTTATGTCTTTCGATGGCAATGGCCATAACGGTTCCTGCCATGATAAAGATAGTCGAACCTTGAAAAAATGGCACCAATTTACACAGAACTGAACCAAGTACCCAATTTTTTCTGATTAATTGCAGAAGTGTGAAAGGCATGCAGAATATGCACAAGGCTATGTCTGTCATACTGAGATTCACTACAAGAAGATTTCTATTAGTACGAATTTTCGTATTCTTTAAAATGACAATGGATATGAGTAAATTACTACACACTCCCGATGTCATGAGAATGCAGTAACTTATCACAATAGTGGTCTCAATTGGAGAAGAAAAAATGTGATCTCTAAGGGTATATTCTTCAAGAACGGCTGATGCTTGTTCCATACTAAAGTTGAAGATGTCAGTTATATTTATTTTCATTTTGTTAATCTTGAAGAAATCCTGAAAAAAATATACTGT